CTAAATATTTATGTAGCTATATCTAATAAATCTAAGTTCAATCTGTCAAGACTATCCGGTCGTCAATAAATGCCTATCAGTCAATTACTTCGCCAACAAACACACGTAATTGCCATAAAATTGACATCGTTGACATTTCGTGGCAATTGAATAAATTAGAATGTCACAGTGATAACTATTGCTGAAATTGTAGGTATTTGTGTATTTGTATCTTGTATTTAGTTATACCTAAAACGAATGAGAAGTAAAATTAAAATGAATTATCGAAATGTACCAGGTACCTACGTACTCACAGGCAAAGAACAAAAACATGGAAATTACTAAATAATTCTTAGTGAAATTTGGTACACATATGCAAAATTTGTTAAGGGTCTAAAAACTTTTTAAGTATATTTTAAAACATTATTTTAACATCATTATCTAGCATTTATGTAAATTCGATTTTGTGTTTGTATATAAATTAAAAATCATTCATAGATATTATTAGTCATTATTTTTTAAACAAAACGATGTTGGCCTTTTCTTACCTACGAAATTTTAGTAAACTTATTAAATTTCTTAGAAAAATATAAAATACTAGCTAATGTCGCTCGGTTTCAACCGCTGCTCCATTTAATCGTAGCGTGATGTATTATAGCCTATAGCACTATCAAACATTGTGGCTATCTATCAGTGAAAGAATTTTGGAAATCCGATCAGCGGTTTCAAAGATTACCCCCTACATACAAACTTACAAACATACAAACTTATAAATTTTACCTCTTTATAATATTAGGATAGACATTGTCATTACTCATCACACTGACACATATTACAACAAGCCCTAAAAAGCATAGAACAAAACAACCAAACTCATCAAATACCCCAATTCAAACCGCAAGACACAGTGGTTATACCAATTAAACGGGCCAGACAAAATCGTCAAACGTACCCCAGTACGAATATTTAAATAACCAAGTCACGTTTACTAAATAAGCAGCAGTAACAAGCGGTATATCGCTTGCACTGATTGTTAATTGATTAGATTAAAAATTTTGTCCCAATTCGGCGCGTATTGTTACAGTGGGGGACATCCCTAACGAATTAATTAGTTATTTTTAATGGTAAAGGTGTATTTTACAATTTGGATGTTGACAGATGTATTATTAGATAAGCCTGTTGGTTTCTTTGTGGTTTAAAAGTTGATCTTGTTACTTGTATTGTGGGGTAAAGATTTTAAATGCTAAAGATACGGTGAAGTATGAAATTGGATGAATGGGTTAGTGTATTTTTGATTATATATTGTGTGTTTGAAAAATGTGATTTCAGTGTCTTGCTGATAACTCATAATGAAAAATAATTATATGAAAGATAATTTAGGACTGTTTTGTCTCCTTTATCGAGAGGATAATAGGTACTAAGCTTTTAAATATTATCTACAACATTAATACATAGAATAGTTAACGCTTACAAGCCCAGAGATGATCCATGAGTTAATGTATCCTTGACTAATACTAACATATATTAAGTAGCGCCATCTATTGATATAAGCTCTGAACAAAACACGAAAATGATGTATGCATCTAATAAATTCCAAAAATTCTAAAAGACAACACATGAGACGCACAATTTTTTACGACACCGACTGTATTTTCGTAAATTCCTTTTATTGCATACGAGTGTATTCAAACTACAAAAATTTTCCCTACAATAACGTTTTATAAGACGATTTTGACACCCCTAAACACTCTTGTTTTATTGTCTTGAATATTTTTATTTGAATACGTAGTACCCACCTACAAAATTGAGTTAAAATGACAGTGGCATACGTAGTGATTCGCCCCGTGGTCGCATTAAGCGCATTAGGGGCCAAAATTGGATTTGTCGAGGGCGTTTTATTGGTACACTTGTTACGAATTTAGGAGCACTGTGTGTTAAAAAAGCTCTTTGTCAATGTGGCAGTGTGTGATTTGGTTTTATATTGGCAATTTTTTTAAATTCCAATAAGAAGTGTCTTGTACAGCTTGTGTTTTATTCTTCAATATTTGAAAGTTTGAGAGAGACAACTAATACCATGTGTGGTTTGTAATATAGTAGTATTGTAATTTCGTGCATGACATGTGCATGTCGTAGTATGAAGGTGTGGGTTCGAAACCTGGCATATGTTATGTTTACCGTGTTATAAGGACTTTACACGATTATTTAGACACCACTGACAAACGGCCAAGAAAACATCTTGAGGAAACCTGGCTTATAATTTCTAATTCTATCTAAGCTTGAAATCGCCAATCCGCACTGAGCAAGCGTTCTGATTAATGCTAAAACCTTCTCCGTGTGAGAAGAGGGCTTTGCTCTGCAGTGGGCACTTACAGACTGATGAAGTAGTGATGTGTGATGGGTTTTCATATAAAAATACGATTTTTTATGTATGGTCAATGTTTTTTTAAAAACAGTGCATAGTAAATTATAGATTCAATGCACACAAAGATCATTGCACACAACTATTTCTAAGAACATATTCAAATGTATGTACTCATTCCATATTTTAATCTGTCTAGCAATTAACTTGGTAATTAGTTACTTGATATATCAGCAGACTATCTTGAGGATTTGCGCAATACCTAGGTACTTGAATAGTGAATAAACATTGTTTATAGATCTCAAGATTACTTAGTGGCAAGAACGTTACCGAATGTGTGCAAAGACATTAGATTATAATGGTATTTGCTGGAATAAGGAACCTGTATAATTATCCCTCACTAGCCAGCCCACGGCTTCACCCGCGTGGTATGTTGATAAATAGTAGCCTATGTCCTATTCCAGAGTGTAATCTTATGCGTGTGCCATTCATCCAGATCCGTCAAGTCGTTTTGGCGTGATTGATTAACAATTATCCAAACTTCCAAATATCGTAACCTTTGCATTTATAATATTAGTAAGAGTATACTGAAAATACCAGTCTAATATGAACCAAAATAAGATCATTTTGGAAACACTATCAATTACGCACTTAAGCACTTTGCCTGACTAAGAAATGAACTATATATGTGGAACAAACCGACACCCAACATCTTTTTTTTACAAAATTCAATATAGAAAGTAGAAAACACACTGCACAATTCCAATCAACTGCATGTGTGTCTGTCTGTTTATGTATATAAATAAAACAAATGTTTGTATTCTTTAACCGACTGTGCAAAGGAAGTATTTATTTGACGGATCGCGGTGAATCAGCGTCCCTGGGCGCATTTTATTTGTGAATACGCCTCGCTTCACATTGTTTTGATTTACGCGCCGTTTTTTTTTGTCCACGGCTATTTCATTTTGACGCACTGTGCGAATTTTGTGCAAAAGAAAATGATTATATGTACCTTTTGTAAATAATATATTAATTTACACTTAAAACATAGAACACAAACATTTAAAATGCATTGTGCAAACCATTTGATTGTAGCGTCATGTTTTATAGCCTATAGCACACAGGAAAATTGTAGCTATCAACAAGTGAAAGATTTTTTTTGGTAATCCAACCAGTGGTTCCAAAGAATACCCCCTACCTACAAACTTACAAATTTTATCTTTATAATATTAGCATAGATAGGCAGCCATATCTCTAAATACGTTTTCTCACAAATAACATTTGGTTGGAGCCAGAGATATAAGGAAATCAAATATTCTGTGCTGTATATTTTCATAACTAATAAAATACTACACAAAACCATTTTATTGCCTAAAAAAGACAAGTTCTATAGCCGCTTGCAAAAATTTTTTTAGACAAAAGAAGGTCTAAAACTCTTCATAAACCACTAAACAAATTCAAAACAATCCTACAGCACAACCAACAATCATCGCGCCTATTCTGCTGACGGTACATACCAACACTTGTTTTGCTGTCGGTACAGGGGGAGCGTAACGTAGTTAGTTAGACAATGACTTGACGAAGGCAAATCTGATTTGCTAACCCTCCAACGTTATTTTAAAGCTAGTCTGTCATTTTGCATAGCTCTATAAAGGGAGTTTGGTTATGTTTAGAATTACATTTTAGTGTGGGATAAGTTTTGCGGCTATTGTTAGTAAGGAATTCAAAAATTTTAATAACAGCAGCGTTTAAAGCGATATCTCGCTCTAAAATACGCTAATCAACATCTATATATATATAAAACAAAGTCGTGTTAGTTACTCCACTTATAACTCAAGAACGGCTGAACCGATTTAGCTGAAAATTGGCAGAGAGATAGTTTAGAGCTAGGAAAAGGACATAGGATAGGATAGAGTATAGTAGGTAGAGCAGGTATAGTAGGGTAGATAGGGTAGATAGAGTACGGTAGCTAGAGTAGGGTAAGTATAGTAGGGTAGGTACTTAAATGACGGGAGGGACGCCGCGGGTAAGAGCTAGTTAACGATAATTTATATTTGCCTATAGCACTCAGGAACATTGTAGCTATCTATACCTAAGTGAAACAATTTTCGAAATTAACATTTCAATTGTGGTAATTCGAGACACAAAAAAGAACAATAGGTCTGCCAACGCCGGCGTTCGCTTGGGGTTTGCTGAATTCATTATGAAAAATACTTACACATTGTTCTTGTCAATTAGGAACGAAAAGTTATCCGTTAATCGGCAGGACAGAAGCTTAACGGCTGATTGTTCACTAGTCAGATAAATGTTAGGTATCTGAAGAATAGAATTGTTGCTGTTACCGTCTTATACAAACATTCTGACGCGCCGATTGCTTACCATCAGGTAATACGCATGCTCACATAAAAATAATCTCTAGAAGGCCAGCAACGCTGTCGTAACACCTTTGGTGACGCGAGTGTCGTGAGCGACCATCAGGTTATGTACCATTTGCCGTTCTATAACATAAAAATACACATCATCATCATCATCATCAGCCTATAGGTGCCCACTGCTGAGCAAAGGCCTCTTCTCATACGGAGAAGGTTAGAGCATTAAATCTACACGCTTGCTCAATGCGGGTTGGCGATTTCAAACTTATAACAACAAAAATACACAATACCTTTCAATGCTTTACTGGACGGCGGAGGGTCCCGGCTCCACGGAGGATCACCATGACCGGAGAAGTCCCGTAACTTGAGGTAGCTAATAGTCAGCCTTATGATAGATGCCTTGTCCAATTGGCTGGTGATGGCAGCTGGGAGAGGCAGCATCTTCGCCAGTTCATAGAATTCATAATTCTCTTTTCCTCTTCTCGATCGAGCTGCATCTCTACTCTTCTCTTTCCGAAGCTCGAGTATGCTGTAAAGAGAGGGTGATGTTAGTTTTTCTGTTGTTAATTTGGCTAAGGTTTAAGTGCGTTATATGTACAGTATTGTTTTAAGGATTAGTTATTAATTTTTATAACTAAGTACTCATTGTTAGATATTTTCAATAAAAATGACGATTAATAATGTTTTACAGCGGTATAGTTACGATACTTTTTGGGAGCTAAACTAAAAAAAAACACTGTAGAATATTAATGTTCTAATAAGAATTGAAATAATTAGTTTGAAACCCACTCTTGAGTACGTACCTAAATTCATTAAAGTAAACGATTGGTTAGATATTAGCACTGGATAAAAATGTTGAAAGAATCATTCTATTATTTCCAACTATCGATTACCAAGTGCATAAAATGGATATCATTCCTAAATAACTAAAGTAGGTACCCACGACATATTTATAGAGTAGTTTTTTAAATGTTTACAGTATTTTAATTTTCTTTCACCATCGCCACCTAACAAACTGTAATACAAAAAGATAGGTAGGTAACGGCACATAATCTACCTACACAAATCAATATCTTTCTTCATTTTGAACCCGCAATAGCAACATACAATTCAGAAAACCTATCCAAATATACGTGTATCTGAAAATACAACTTCATATAAAAAGAAAAAAACCGCCCAAAATTGTTGCGTTTGATGGGAGTGTCCCTAACACTCCCACAGCCCGCCCAAAGGCGGAGTTTCTAATGAACTCCGCGCTTCTACATTTAAAACTCACATTTGCATTTAAGCAAGAAAGTAAAATGTATTTCTGTATTTAAATATAATTTTAATTTACATTTTTTATGGTAATCAACTGTTGCTTTGTGTTTATTTCGAATGTGAATATATTTTTGTTGTAAAATTAAATGTTGGGCCTATTTTTATACATTTATCTAATAAATTCATTTTTTGAAATATGTTTTTTAAATTTAATTAATTTAGAAGTAGATATATATATTTTTTTGCCGAGGTACCTACTGAAGTCATTTTAACAAGTTGATATCAGCTTTTCAAATAATATAATACTACTTACTTTCAAATAAACAATTATTTCGCAATATGTATGTAATTCTTATTTTATTGCTCCAAAAGTATTTGGATACTACTTAAATCTTTTGCGCTCAAAAACGACTAATAAGTAAGCAATCAATAATCTAAATTTCTTCTACAAGATACCAACAACAACCATCCGGAAAACCTTTACCTATAATGAAACATTAAGGTGTGTCTACATCAGCGGAAACTTTACAACCCGGTCTAAACCGAAAGGTGCGAACTAAGCGAAGTCTCCATTTTACGACCAAGCCCGATTACTAGCCGTCCCTTGGGACCCCAGCTTTATTGTCACCTGAGTAAGGCTATTTGAAAATTGGTGCTTTTTTACGATTTTTTTAAAGGTTTTTCCATTCTTTGTTTGTGCAGATAGTCTGGATTCTGGAACCGAGGTAAATGTTCTAGAATGACATTTAGAGAGGTCGTTTACCTTGTGTGTTTTAAAAATGGAACCGATTTTAAATTAAATTGTTCTGGAATGTTCTTTTTTAAATGTAACGGTTATTTTGCATCGGGTTAGTTTTTTTTTGAAATAGTTGAGTGAGTTGAAGAACTTATTAATATGATTTTTTAAATCGGATTTATATCTGAACCGACTAAATGATGTAACAAAGAAATTAATTGTAAAACTGATTGAAAAAGAGTAACCATGGAGTTTTTTGCTCGTTCTTCTCCATCGGAATCTACACTTTGGAACGACCAAATAGTTTCACTAGAGGACAGACAGACAGACTGGCACGCATAAATTTAAACCTCTTGAAATACCTATATGTTTTTTTTACTGTAGCCTAATTGAAATAAATGATTTTGACTTTTTTTTATTAAAAAATTAGACGACCCATAGATTTAGAAAAGTAAAACGGTAATTTCCATTAAATACTCCTAAACATTGTTATTGTACAGCCAACAAAAACATAAAAGAAAACGAAAATCCCTTTTTCATTTAAAAATAATCGTCATCAAATCGTGATAAGCCAAAACTATGACCGACCTACCTATTTTAAAACGTAACTCTTAACCCTTATCTTAAATAACTACGCCTTAGGGACTAATAACGTTTAAAAATATAAAGAAATACTAAACAAAACCCTTCGTAAATCTGATTTTCCGATAAACGATTGTAAACTGGAAAGGGGTAAGAGAGAGCTTACATGGGTGCTATTTTGAAGGAGTAATTTTGTCCAAATGAAAGCCAAATTTTTGTTTTTACTTCATGTTTATTGCTTGAATAGCCATCATGACTATGCTATGATTGATCTGTCAAGATTGTACCACTGGATGACCTTTATAACTTACCTATGTTCTGATATTACCTATCACATTTATTTATTTATTTATTTATTTATTTATTTGGACTTCCAACAGAGAAAACACTTTAAATGCCAGACAATATACATAACAAAATATTTTCTTGTGCTTCTCCACTTATAAGAAGCCACAGCATGCAAATATGATGTAACAGCATGAATACAAATACAAATTTAAAATGATGTAAGTATTAAATTAAATTTTAACACTACGTTATATTAAGTCTAATAACAAGAAATGAGATCAAAATTATATAAAACAAAGTTTTTTTTAAAGTAGCTAATCAAAGCATAATCCTTTCAAACATAAAGCATAAGACTATCAAATAGTAAAATTTGTCAAAATAAAAATAAAATATATTAATAACAAGCGTTTTCTGAATTATGTTCATCATTATCATTCAAATATGAGTTTTTTATTCAAAGATTTATATTAAAAAGCTCTACCGACTCGTTCAAGTTGATTGCGCGATTGGTGCGGTGGCTGGGCAAGTGGCTGCCATGCAACGTGTCGCGGGTTCGATTCCCGCACGGAACAACTATTTGTGTGACCCACAAATTGTTGTTCCGGGACTGGGTGTCATGTGCATGTGAAATTTTGTGTTTATAACCGCACCCACGACACAGGAGAAAATCCTAGTGTGGGGCAACTTTTTATTCAAAAAAATAAAATAAAAACGACAGGACTCTTATTTTTAGTCGTGCAGCAGAGCTTTAGTCCTTTAACTCATCTATGTCTCACGGTAGTTATCTACTAATCAAAAATTATCATTAATATTTCAAGTAGGTACCTATATCTAATAAAAATTTTAGTTAATCGTTTGTAACCAAGAGAAAACAGTGACTTCTAAATCTGTAAGAACTGATGTCAAAAACCAAAAATTCCTTACGACATTAACGATTTGTCGAATTGTTTTTAATGTCTACCTATTGTGAGTATGTAGCTATTTTAAGACAATCCGCCATTGTGTTTTTTAAAACAATAAGTGCATATGCTAAACGGTATATTAGCACAGTGACCAATTGGCGCCAATAAATTGTATTATAATAAGCATTAGGTAGTACGATTATAATAAATACTAGAGTCATTTATTTTGAGGTTAAACTGAAATAAATGATTTAATTTTAAAATACTTACTATTAATTTTAATGTAATATCTACACGTACAAATGTGTCATCAATCTCATAAAAAGAAATTGCTAATGAGTAAGTTTTTCTTATGAAATGAAGTACTTACTTACAAAAATACTTAGGTACTAGTATGAAAATAATTAGATACCTATTATTCTGGACTAAAATTTATTCAAATTGTTTCTAAATTTAAATTCTCTAAAACACAAATTTTATTTAATAACTAAGTAATATTTTTCAGTTCCCAATTTCATTTGACCGCCATGTAAGCCTATTTTTACTGTGGTCCGAATTAAACCGAGGGCGTGCATGGTCAGTTAGGGGCATAACATTGTTTAAAATAACTTAACAGTTAGGGTTGGACGTCCCCCGTCTTGGTTGACCGCCCTAAGATTAGGGTGCTTTTTAGATTTGATAGAATTTATTTTCGTTCAAATCTAACTGATTGGATAATTTTATGATAATATATTTATTTAATAACGTCGTAGTAAGTTTTAAAAAGGTTTCTTTACATATTATGTACATAGATAGTACATACTAGGACGCGCGCCTACCAACGCTGAATGACACGGTTCTGCAATATCTCGAACTTTATCAACCTCTTTTTGCATGTTTGACGATTATAGTTTTTCATCATTTTTTTGTGAGGGGAAAATCTTCAAGTGACTTCTTCCGCCCAGGGTCGGGCGAGAGTGAGTGTCACATTCTTACTGACTAAAACCCCCCCGTTCCTTCTCCTGCTCTGGGCCGAAGTCGCGGTGCCTCATTGCGCTTACCCCGCAACCTTGGCTGTAGGTTTTTCATCAAAGTATTTGTGAGCCAATTACGAATATTGAGCATATCTCTACTAAGTTGTAAGGTATGCAATAGATTTAATAAATCCTTTTATAAATGACTTATTAATAATAATTATCAATGATCTTAACAATGGTTTTGTATTAAAATATATTTTTTGAAAAGTAGAAGGAAAACAATTAAATATTTTTAAAGTAGAATAAAATTCGTCAAATCGCAGCGCGACCCTTACAGTGCCTTAGCTGTTTGCTACCAAAACAAATGACTAACACCGAGGTATTCTTTTTTTGTGAGGGGAAAATCGTCGTGTGGCGTGGTGGCCCGGAGGATAAGGAGCCCGCTTCTTCTTCATTAGGTGGGTTCGAAACCCGGCAAGTACCAATGTGACTTTTTTCAAGTTACATGTACTTTCTCTGATTATTTAGACACCACTGACATACGGTGAAGGTAAACATCGTGAGGAAACCTAAACTTATAGGTAATTTCTAATTATAAGTTTGCATTAAGCAAGCGTGGTGATTAATGCTCTTACCTTCTCCGTATGAGAAGAGGCCTTTCTTTGCTCAGCAGTGGGCACTTTTAGCCTGATGATGATGATGATGATGATGAGGGGAAAATCATCAAATGAATTCTCTCGCCCAGGTTAAGGCGAGAGGAAGTTTCAGACTCTTACTGACTAAAAACCGTTCCTTATCCTGCTCTAAGCCGAACCCTGGCTGAACATAAAGAGGTAGTTGTCTACTCGTGTCAACCAGAGACCAGCCTTTATTTTTAAAAATAAATAGGTAAACCAAATCGTCATTACCTAATTAATGCAATTTTGTAAAATATTATTCTTTAATACCATCTACGTTATGCAGTTTACTTGCATATTCACGCCCGGTTTCCGAAAGGCCGATCAATGTTAAAATCAATTTAATCTCTGATCAAGTCATCTGATTGGTTGACTGAATTATCAACAACCAATCAGATAACTTGACAAGAGATTTAACAGGAGATTAGTTAATTTTAGCGTTGACAAGCCTTTCAGAAACCGGGTGTCAGTACTTACAAACACATTTTTGACAAAAGGGACCGTTAAAAACGGTACTTATAATGTTAAACTTTATCAAAATGGGTTTTATACCATATTAAGAGATGATATTATGCTGTTCCTATCACGATTATAACTGTAAATACCTACTTATATTACATTTACAAAAATAAAATGCGAATTAAAAAGATTGAGATTGTTTTATGGGAGTAGGGATAAGCAG